AAAAACTTCACCATTTGAATCAGTGACATTACTGGAAACAGTGTACTTAAGACTATTTTAAAAAAATATTTTAAAATATTTTTAAAATTAATTTTTTTTTTTTTTTTTTACATAAGGTAATTTTTTAATACATAAGGCATTCTGATGAATAGGAGCACAACAAAACCCAAACCAAAATGAACATAAAATCAGCAAAAAAAGACTCCCAACACATCCTCAAGAAGTCCCACATATTCTAATACCAAGAAACATGCCCCAGCTGAGCATATGCATGTTGCTTGAGTTGCAGGGAATGTTGTCATTTAAGAAGTGGAAAATTTCCTTCCTGACTTCCATGTAGAGTCCAATAAACTCACTTGTATTGCATTTTATACTTGGTCATGTAAAGTAGCACACAAATTTAAGCCCCCAAAGTGGATACTGGAATCGCTTTGCTCTGGAAGGAGGCCAATGTTCTCTCTCAACCTAAGAGCTTATAAAACAAAACAGAATAAGAAAAATGATGCCTTTCCTGGAAGGAAGCAGAAGATCTGATGTTGTGTGCCCAAGTCTCTGAGGATATTGAGCTACATGCTCAGTCACATTTTGTGACTGAATCAACACAGCTCCTTCTTCTGGTGGTTTGAAAAGAGCCCCTACTCTGCTGACTCTTTGCTTTTATTGCAATTGGGTCACTTTGAGAAGTTTTCTCCTTTCTCTATTTATAACCATCCAGCAGCACTACATTCTCTGAAGTGAAGAATTTCAGGTTTCTGCCTTCATCCTCTTTGTGGAGATCAGCTAAAATCACACAAAAGGTCCAAAGACGGATACAATTATTCTGTTCACATAAGTCTCATTTCCTTGGAAAATCAAGTTCAGACCTCTATTTAGGAGTGCCTAGATCCATGCTTTGTGCATTGGCCAATAACTAAACATGTTTATTATGAAGCAGGATATAATATATTTTGGAATGCTTTGAATTAGAGCCTCCATAAAACAATCTTCTAAAATATATCTAGACTGCCCATAAATTCCATCCCTTTATCACCTGAATAATGCCAGCCCAATGAAAATCAGTTTAAAAAGTATCAGTATTTTTGCTAAATTTAATTGCAAGTAAAAATGCTTTTAAAAGCATAAAACAAAATTATTACCATCAGATAACTTTTAAAATAAAGCACCTGCTATAAGAAACAGTTTTTCTCCTAAGGTTCAAAATAATGAAGAGAAGAAATAACTGTGTTATACAATTTTCCAAGACTTCAAATGCATATATGCAAGGAAATCCATCAATGCCTCTTTGCTAAGTTTTCAATTTATCCACACTACATGGGTTCCCTGTGTACTTCCCAAATTTGATCTTGCTATTCTTGTCTTTTTGCACTTCCTTTATCTGACATAAGCTATTTACCTATCCCATAAAAATAATTTGGCATTATAGTACTTCCATTAAAAAAAATTAGTTCTGCTGACACAGTCATGCTGGGGCAACTTTGCAAGACTAAAGGACACTAGATTATCATTTACTGAAAGTAATAAACATTTTAGAGACGCAATTTATTTTGGAGAAATGAATTTTTCACAGTATTTTGTTTTTCTCCCTAGGAAAAAACCAATTTTTCAGACTGCTGAAAATAATAGTTAATTGCAGACATATGCCCTGTCATCTTGCATGTGCATTTATAAACCAAACCAACCCACAACAACAGGACTGAATTATTTTTCTGTGATCCCATCGTAGACAGCTATATAAAGAGGTCTTCATAGTTGACTAAATGTACACATACAGAATTTTAGTTTTGTTTTCTTCAATGTAAGTAAATTGAAATTCCTAATATCACCTAAATTGGAGAGGGGAAAGAATGATTTTTCTGCAATATGGGTATATTTTAGTTTGGAAGATGAGGGAAAAGCTTTGTTCAACTAGTATTTTTAAATCTCTGTTGTATCTCTAGTATCTTTATATGAGTAGCAGCACCAAAAACTAACATAATTCAACAAGCTGTGACTGGCTGGCAGAAACAAACAGCCAAGAATATATCTTAAAATTATCCTTTTAATATTCATATATACAAGCAGAATAGTATAGTTTCCCTTCCTTCATCATCAACGGATTTTTTGCCTACTCATGTTTGAAATTTAATTTCCTACAATTTGACTTTGATCAAAAAACTCCTGTACAGTGAAAAGGGGCTTTCACAATTTCACTTGTCAATGACTTGCTATCAAATGGTTTTTCATTTCTCTGTGCCTCACTTGTACAAGTTCATCTTTCATTTACTTATATTAGTAGCCACAGTTACTCAAGCACTGTTTCTCAAAGAAGCCATTAACTTTCAGCTTGCTATTTAGAAATTATTGTATTATCACAAGAAGTGTTTGTAAAAGTAGTTAATACAAGCTGTCACACAAAAGCACTATCCTCAGACTCTAAATTATGTTGTACTGCAAAGGGCTATTCAAGCAACAGGCAATTTATCAATTTCTATTCTATGATACTGGAAAAAATGTGATATATAGAATATTAATAACAATTCCTCCACCCCAACTCCTCAATGAGTTCACTTCTAGCAGGAAATTTTAGACTGGTTATAACAAGAAGCAAACAAACAATCAAATGCAAAGAAACAAACAAAAAATGAGGGGAAAACCCCAACCAAATAGCCCTTCCAGAACTGTAGGGTTTAGGGGGTACTATATGAAGCCTTATATTATTTATGAACTGTAAGATTTCTAAACATCTGCAGGATTTTCAACTAAAATGTACCCAAAACATGCTATGACACATTCCAATTTAAAGTTGAGGTCTAGAAAAAATACCCCAAAGGACACACAACCTGAAATTAAGATAAAAATTGCTTTCTCAGTTAAAGGTCAAGCATGACTATAGTACATAACTACTTCATCCAAGAAAAAATCCTCTTACCCTCTCATTTCAACATCAGTTGAGGAAAATAACTACAGCTGAAAGCAGCAATAAGAAACCTCTTTCAATACCTTCTGTAAATCGCTTTTATTTCTGAGGGTTAACAAGCCCTTTTGACATTCTACCCATACAGGAGTTACAGATTTTCAGATACATTACACTCACAAAGAAGAGACACAGCATAGAACAATCTGTTCTCTGCTATAAAAGCTCTAAAGGCATATTCAGCAGCCAGAGAATTCATGGTCCCTGACCTGGTCAAAGCACAAACCTGAATACAAGAAAAATAAAAATGCAAACAGATAAACAAAATTGACAAAGTGCCATAGGAAAACAAATATTTCAGAGAAAATAAGTAATGCCATGGAAAAGGCAGGCACGGTGTAAAAGTGGGGGACAATGCATGGTGATTTCTTCCTTGGCACTGGACACAGCTTTGCAATACATTGTGACAGCAAAATCACAATTGCTTTGTTCATTACTGTTGTTGACAACTGTTTTTCATTACAGGCCTAAGATCCATTAATGAATGACAATTACAAGATTAACAGTACTTTGCATTATATTCAGTACCTAATGAAAGATCAAAATGCAGTAGTCTTCTGCAAAGTGGCTGGAGTGATGCCTGGTTGTTTTCATGTTGTCTCTCGGGGGTTTCTCTGTGTGTAAGCAAAAGTGATTTTGCTTTCTACAAGTCACTGAAGCTGGCCTTGCCAAACTCTTCTTATCACTTAGTGCTTTGTTACCTCTGATAAAGAGCCAAAACACTAAATTCTGCTTCTCTCCAACAAGTGTAAAATAGCATTACAATCTTCAAAATCTGAAGACACTGCCAGCACAGCTATCATCAAGAGCAACATTTTGGCAGAATAGTGTGTTATGGGAATGCATCCAGCTCAGTTCTCAGTGCTCAGAATAAAAAAACTTTGTTGTTTATTAAGTCTTTATCTACATATATATATATATGTTTTAATGGGAAGACAAAAAACCAAATCCAAACATGAAATTCAGTAAGAGAGAGTGCAAATAGACTCACTCAAATAGATTCTGATGGTCATAACTTTTCATCAAAATATACTCATCTGAATTAAGATGAAGTATATTCTCGGTATATATAGTAAAATCATATTAGCTGCTTCTGTAACTGTTGCCTTCTTGAGGACCCAAAGGTTTTTTACAAATTACTTATTAACTCTCAAAATAGTTCCTCATGTGTGAATGCTAGTTCCTCATGTGCGTAAGCTATCAACAGTATTTTGTTCATATAGTGCTTCAGTTAAAAAATTCATAAATTCTACAGATTTTTTCTGTCTTGATGCTTCCTACAGAGTATCCCCTTGAATGGCAATTAATTTCCCAAAGCCAACTCCTTTTTGCCCATAATGGTAATGGATAATTGTCTTTATCTTGATCCATGAATTTTTTTCACCATGTTTTCTTCTTGGCCGTATTAACAAGATGTGCTGGTTTTGGTTGGGAAGGAGTTAATTTTCTTCACAGCAGCTACTGTGGGTCTGAGCTTTGGATTTGTGCTGGAAACAGTACTGATAACTCAGCAGGTTTTAGTTACAGCTGAGCAGGTTTTACTCAGGGCAAGGCCTTTTCTGCTCCTCACTCCACCCCACCAGCAAGAAGGCTGGGAATGCACAACGATTTGGGAGGAGACACAGTCAGAACAGGTCACCCTAAGTGACAAAAGAGATATCCCAGATCGTATGGCATCATGGTCAGCCTATAGAAATGAGGGAAGTAGAAGTGGAGGTGCCTGTCCTTCCAAGTCACTGTTACACTTGATTGCACCCTGCAATCCTGGGCATGTCTGAACACCTGTCCGTCCATGACAGGTGGTAAATTAAATTCTTGTTTTACTTTGCTTGTTTAGACAGTTTTTGCTTTACCTATTAAACTAGCCTTAACTCATGAGTTTTCCACCCGTTACTCTTCTGGCTCTGTTCCTCATCCTCCTGCAGGGGAGTGAGTGAGCTGCTGGGTGAGGCTTGGTTGCTGCCTGGTCTTAAACCATGATGGGAGGGGAAATGGCAGAGAAGCATGGTGGGCACAAGAAAGTCAATAAAGGACAACACATACTTACCTTCTGCTGTATTTCCCTCTACTGATGAGTTCCAACCAGGTAATTTCAGTTCTCAGGTAGAAATCACTCCAAAACTTGATAATCCCTTAGGCTCATATTGAAGTTTTATCAGTTCTGTTTACCTTTGAGATATTCTTGAAGTACCAAAATGTCAAATCTGAAGGTGCTGACAAAACTTAGATTTATGAAGTGACATCATTGTCTTATTTGCACTGTAAGCAATTGAAAGAGAGAGGGAGAGCATGTGCTATACATTTATTCTCCATCTGCATTACTTTATACTGATCTACAATTAACTTTACCTGCTATTTCACTGCTTACTCTCACAATATCCTTCTGAAATTTTCAGTCATTCTTACCAATTTCATTAATATTCAACAGAAACATTTCTTGTGGTGCTCAACCTCTTTCCCACAATACCTTTCAGTTTCTCTATATTTCCTATCATTCAGCATCAGTGTGATGTGGCTGAATTAAATCCATTCCTGTTCCACAGAGCTTTAAAATAAGAGGGACATGGACAGCCTTTTCTTGCTCTCCCCCAGCTGGAAGATGGTGCAGGAGCAAAATAATACCTCTTATAATTTATTCTTAAAACATTCTCTGGAACATGTTTTTGAAGTTTAACAATTGATTCCATTCTGTCTGAGCTATATTATTTGTTTAATTTCTTTACTAAGCAGTTACTGCTGGCAAAGTACTATTCCCATTAATAAACCTTCAATAATTTATACTTTGTACCACTAGGTGTCGAAAATACGTCAATGCAAAGAGCGAAGATTTTCTCTGAATGTCATATCTTCAGATGTAACAAAGCAAGAAAATGCTGTGACTGACCACCTCCACCACCCTTTTTTTTTTTTTTTTTGCATTTGCATTTGCATCATCCTTTGGGCATTTCCTTTCAAAGATGTCACCAGTCCTTTATTCAAGCCTGTGCTGTTTAACATCCAGTCTCGAGGACATTGCTGGACACAGCTTTGCTCTCCAGGTAATGTAACTATCAGAAGAAGACTGAGGCAGTTTTTTAAACAAGGAATAAGTAATATTTCCTATTTTTGTATGTAAAAACTGTTTGATTTCTCTAATTTCGATGTTGTATTGGTTTACTGGAAAGAAATATGAAATAAGATAAAAAATGTGAGGGAACATATGCTAACAAAGTTTGGGAGGAATTAATTTTAGTAAAGTGCTGATGTTACAATGTACACTATGGCCCTCAGGAAGGCAGTTCTGACGTGTCATCTTTCAGAAGTCAACAAAAGTACAATGCAAACAGAGTTCAGTTTTTAAAACCCATCCCAAAAAATTCCACCACTAACTTTCTTCACTGCCAGTGGAACCCTTATATTTCAGAGGAAGACCGCCTAACCTACATTTAATTTCCAGCCAAAATTTTATAAAACTCAAAATAAACAGCCCCATCACATTACAGGAGTGCTCTCTAGCTCAAACTAAAGAAAAAACATTATGTGACTGTCAGAATCATGAAACAATGCTGTAAAATAAACAGACCCTCATCCTCCCCTCAGTTTCTGTTTTTAAAGGAAGATATTTTTTTCCCAAGCCCCACAAACACCAAAGGCAGATGGAGCCAAGTTTGAAGAGATCACCATCTATAATGCAAGTTAGAATTGACAGAATTATAGAATCACAGAATAAACTAGTTCAGAAAAGACCACTGAGATCATAGAGTCCAACCTATGACCTAACACCTCTTCATCGGAACCTCCCCAGTTCAGTTCACCTACAAGAACACCTACAAGAACAAGGGTTGGTCATCTTGAAATATCCTTCAGCTGCTTATAGAATAAGTTATCCATCTCTTCCTGGCTGGGTGGTCTATAACAGACTCCCAGTAAGATGTCAGCCTTGTTGGCCTTCCCCTTAATTCTTACCCATAGGCACTCGACTATCATCATTAGTTTCAATTTCCACAGCGTCGAGAGCCTCCCTAATATACAGAGCCATCCTTCCACCTCTTTTCCCTTTCCTGTCTCTTCTGAAGAGCTTGTAGCTATCCAGTGCAGTGTTCCAGCCCACCACATTTCTGTGATGGTGACTAGATCAGAGCTTTGCTGTTTCACCATGGCTTCCAGCTCTTCTTTTTTTTTACCCATGCTGCGTGCATTAGTGCACATGCACCTCAGCTGGGCTGCTGATTTCATCCCTAACTCTGGCTTACCACCCTTGGGCCTGCTTCCAGACAGCCCAGCTGCACCCCCTTCCCCCTCAAACCTAGTTTAAAGCCCTCTCAATGAGTTCTGCCAGTTCATGAGCTAAAATCCTTCTGCCCCTAAAAGAGAGATGGAGCTCATCCAGTTCCAGCATGCCAGGTGCCATGGAAGTTGCCCCATGATCAAATAACCCAAAATTCTGTCAATGGCACCAGCCTTTAAGCCACTTGTTGGTACTTTTGAGTTCTTCTGTCCTTTCATGCATGCAATTCTACACTGCATGTAACTGAATTAATTTTTAAAGAATTATTAGATTAATATTTTTTAATACCCAAGTTACCTACTCTATATCAACCTATAGCAAAAGAAAATGGACTATTGCTATGGTTCACAAAGTGTTATGAAATACACAGGTAAAATCCAGAACTATCCTGCTTTACTCCATGGCCTTTCATAACCCTGAAAACAAGATGATTTACAAGTTTTGTACTTCCCATGTGATGTTAAGGAGAGTACACAATTTTCCTCTTGTATTTTTTCTTCCAGCAACTCCTTTTGTGCCTTGCTGTTCCTCTTGACATAAACCCTGAATACTAGGTCTCTGTGCAAATCCCACAATACACGGTGTTTTGCTACTCCATTCCCATAAAACTCTTCAGGGCTCATTAGCTAAAATGAAACTAGGCTTTTGAAGCACGTCTTGACAAAGCATCTTTTTAAAGCATGTTAAGAAGAGGCTGGGCTTTCAAAACAGAGCTTGAATATGGAGTATGCCAGTCAATATGCATAGTTCTGAGATATTAAACTAAAGATAATTGAAATTCAGGATGGAACAGCATACGCAGTTGGACTGAGTATCTTTCTAATTAAAATAGCTAGAAAATAAATGGACACACAAATTGGAACATACATTTTAAGACCTCAGCTGGTGCATCTTTAGAAAATATAGTTGTTACATTAGGAATAACAAAAAATGCTAAAAAGATAATAATAAGTTGATAGTACAAAAAGTATAGATACTAGAACAGATAAATAGTGATGCATTATACACCTAGAAATATATAGTCACATCTTAAAACTGTCCATTCTAGCAGCATTGGAGAACATGGCTATATACCAGCTAGTTCTTAGGATTCTGCTATTACAAGCAAGTTTAAAAACATTATTTGTGCTTAAAAAATTTAAAACATACCCCCCAAGAAATAGGCAAATTGTATTTTACTCTTCAGTGACATTTCTGATAAGCATTTTCTCAGAATATATTTAGTGGATGTAATTTCAGGAAATTATCTCTTGAATCATTACTGCCACAATATGGCATATGTATTCTACTGACCAGGTCAGAGACAAAAGGTGACATGCAAATACTTCAGTGAATGTCATACAATTATCCTCTTCCCACTTCAAGCATTCATATTTTTTCCCTCTGCTTCCAAATAATGACTGCTACATGGATAAGTATAACCTGTTCTCCAGTTAGGCATGGCCACTGGAAAAGAGTCCTGGAGAGGATCATGTTAATAGCTTTAGGTGACTTACCTGTCCTGCAAAACTCAATACCCTCAAGCTTCTGCTCTTAAACCTCTGGCAGGCCACATTTCTATAGCTCTACAGAAAAAAGGGGCAGAAATATTTAGCAGAATAAAGATAGAAACATTTAGTGATTAAATCAGGAGATTCACTGTTGCATGAACAACTAAAGCACCTTAATGCAGGATCTGCAATAGTTTGTATTGTTGCTGTTAGGCTTGTTCCACTGAAAGAAGAAAGCATCTTTCTATAATTGTAGGAGCAAGAGTTTGATATGCAGAACTAAATGGAGCTGGTGTGCAAATGTGGATATAACAAAAATGACTTTCAAATAAATATATCTGAATTACTGGAAATACATAAGGTTATAAGAAAACCATAGGGTTTTAATTACAAGAGGAAGAAAAATTTTCAGAATGTTTATTTCAAAGAGGAGACCTGAAGCAGCAGAAAGGGAATTTTTAAGGGTTGTCAGGAAGGAAAATCTTTATGGTAATTCAGCACTTTTGGAGGACTACTGTGCCCATTCTGTTAACCACTTCTGTGGAGGTAGTATAATAAATGCTGAAAACAGCTTCACAATGTAATGTATATTGTTGCATGAAAACAAATCCATGACAATTTCCACCACTACAAGGCAGTGACAAAGTGACAAGAGCTGGGGGAAAACCAAAGTTGGTTTAATCTCTATTACTCATAAGAAGTCATTGTTTTCCAGTAGGGATGTAATCCAAAAATAAAATGTGTTTTCACTTCTCTTATTCATTTACCAACAAGCAAGCATTCTTAACATCTGTGCCAGGCAAAGCTACCTTTCCATGGATGGATAAAGAAACAAATTTGGCCTGGGAGATGAGGTTGGGGAACAAAAACTGAAAAAAGCATCCCCCTTAAACCCAGCAGCTATTTCAGATATGCCATTCATATTCTGTAGGATTCTGTAACCATCTTCCACGCTGGTTACCAGGGAAACAGCTCTCATGCATTCTGAAATCCCACATGTTAAAAGCACATTCTGGAGAATTTTCCCTGCTGGTGACAGGGAATATGATTTGGAATATGAGATTCTCCATTTCCAATGTTAAATTAACAGAGGGAGAGGCTCCAAACATATTTAATAATAACCATCAAAAATTCTGAAGAGAAGAAAATAAAAACTTTAAAAAATTATTTATAAGTCCACATGGACTATTGCTATGCATATATCTGAATGTCTGCTTCTGGCATGACTTTTTTGACACCTACATAACTTGCTACTTCAATGTTATTTTTGCTGCTAAGTGTACAGGTGGAAATGACAATACATCTACAAATAAGGCCTTAAATTATAAGAGTCTTACAAATAAAAAAAATATAATACATAATTTTATAGTGAAGAACATTTTCATAAATTTCCATGTCTCATTCCAGTCTTTTGTGCTATAGAAGTGCAGGACAAGTTAGTCTTAATTCCATAATTCTAAGTAATTCCAAACTTCTTGAAGGAAAGCATGGGAGCAAAATCAGCATTGGAAACAATAGTTACAACCTCTGGTCAAATCCTCTAAGGTTTTGCTTATGTACTATGAGGCTTTGTAAAACATTTCACATGCATAATGAGGAAAAGCTACTGTCCTCACCCCCCAAAGAGTCTGCTAGTGTTGAAAATATCAATGCTAAATTTATTTCTTTAATAATGTTATTTAAAAAATAGAAAAGGTAGATCACCGATGATGTAGACACACATGTGTACATGGGCATGTGTACATACATATCCTATAAAACTGATAGTAGCTCCTGGGCTTTAAATAGAAACAAAGCCAAAAACTTTTCAGGAACAACTTCCCTCAATAATTCTCTCAGGAAGACTGGAACAAATGTGGAGGGTAGGTAGGCCAGAGTAACATGCATGTATTAGCACAGCAATGCTCCTCCACTTCGTGACAGTTTTGCTTATTTCAAAATTATTCTTCATGATTAAAATTTAAACTTTATACATTGTTTTTATTTATTTTGGCAAGATCACATTAGTAATTGTTTAATACAAAAGAAAGAGAGAAATTACATAGCTACAGAGGGCATTGTATAGAGGCAAGACTGGAGTTGGAGCAGTGAGGACAGACTGAGGAATGACTGGCTGGAGTGAAACCCCACAGAAACGAACCTGGGGTCCTGGTTGATGGCAAGTTGAACATGGGTCAGCAGTGCCCTGGCAGCCAGGAGGGCCAGCCCTGTCCTGGGGGGCATCAGGCACAGCATTGCCAGCCAGGCAAGGGAGGGGATTGTCCTGCTCTGCTCTGAGCTGGGGCAGCCTCACCTCGAGTGCTGGGGGCTGGTTTGGGCGTCACAATATAAGAAAGTGTCTAAGGGAGAGCTATGAAGATGGTGAAGGGCCTTGAGGGAAGCTGTGTGAGGAGCAGATAAGGTCACTTGGTCTGTTCTGCCTGGAAGAGACAGAAGGAAGACCTCATTGCGAGACTGTCTCAAGATGCAGATCAGCAGCACCCAGTATTAGCATACTTTGAGCTGTTTTAAACGACTAAAATATCATTTTAAGGACTAGTCTAAATGCTTATCTATCAACACTTGGTCAAAACTGCAGAAAAATTTTCATGCATCACATTATAGACATAGATACATTAATAGAGCAAGCACTCAATTAAAAATCTAAGTTTTCCAGGACAATATTCCTTTTTTTTTTTTTTTTTTTTTTTTTTTTTTGTTTTCTTTCATGGAGGCTGGAGTCTATGTGCTTCTGGAGGACTCAAGCAATTTACCACCCTAAGTTCTCTCATCTTTGTGAAGCTTAGACTCTTGACTGAAATTACAAAAACAAAAGAAAAATCTGCCATGCATTACTCATGATTTGCCTCTGAACAACAAGTAGTCTTCCACTCTTTATGATCCAGTGATATACACTGCTCAAATACATAAATTTCAAACTGTTTTTCTAAAATATTTGCTGAGACTATCCTTCATTAGTTGGATCTTACATTACCATTTTGTGCTGCTGAACACAGGGAGAATAATTTACTGTTCCCATAGTTCTGTTTACTTTTGCTTACAAATCAATAATATTAGTGTGCATAAATACCTGATAGTGAGTGCAAAGAAGACAGGGTTAAACTCCTCTACTCTTGTCCACTGAAAGGACAGGAGGCAATGGACATACACTGGAATATTAGAGATTAAACATAAGAAAAAAACTTACTATTTAACATGAAGGTGAGTTAATATACAACCATTCTGTCCAGGGAGGTTGTCTTTATCTTTGGAGGATGTTCAAAACCCAGCTAGACTCAGTTCTGAGTAGACTGGTCCAGGTGACCCTTCTTTGAGCAGGGCCATAGCAGATGCAATCCCCAAGGTTCCTTCCTACCTTAGTGACTCTGTTACTGTATCTGTGACTGGGTGGATAAAAACACTGGATAAATAACACAGCAGTGCAGCTGTGAGAATCTGGAAGCTGGCTGAAACCCTGTCTTCAGAGGCAGGGAGACCTCATCTAAAACTTCCAAACTTCCATTGAGCCAAAATACTACTGAGTTTGAAAAGATTACTCAGGTCAAAAGAGGACAAGAGAAGAACCCAAACACCACCAGCCCTGCACAGCTCTGGGAGATGAACCAAACAGGATCTTACCTAGAGAAAGAGTGGTGACTGCATGGAAACAGTCTCCTAAGATGTTCAGTGGGATCAAGGCACATCTGCTATGCCTCCATACTGCATACCATCCAATTTTCATGTAGACATTTGGACTACAGACCACAGATCTATTATTCTCCAACAACTTTTTTCCTAGCAATATTATTTAGTTCTGCTCAAAAAAAAAAAAAAAAAAAAAAAAAAAAGCTGAAGTACAGACTTTATATCAGAAAAGCTAGCAGGTAAACAGTTTGGAGTCCACCAGTAAGATTAGGGATTGCCAGAAAAAAAATTTGGGACTTTTCAGAAAACACCCATAAATAGCCCCTAACCCCCACATATTAATCTTAACTGCCTATTATTAAGACTGATCTCATTCTCCTTTCTTCTTGTTCTCCTGAATCAGCAGCTTCTCAGTCTTCTAAATACTAATGAATATTAATTGCAAATACTAATATTCTTTCTTTGTCTAAGGTTTTCTCTGATGGATTTGCACTACTACAAACAAACAAAACTTTCTAAAGAAGGAGAAGCTGAATAGCATGCAAGAAGAACCAGTGTATGAACCCAGAGAGTAGTCAAACTTAGTCTGGCCCTTTAGAGTATTACAATTGTTGAAAATTTAAATTTGGTCCCAAACATTGTAATGGAGAGGTTCACTCTCAAAACAAACCAATTCGCATTTTACATCACAGCAAATAGGGATACAGGGTTTCACCCTAATTTCTGCATGAGATCTAAGTATTAAGATAGTCAAAATCTTTCCCCCAACAGTTATGTGTGGTGGGTTGACCTTGGTTGGATGCCAGGTGCTTACCAAGCTGACCTATCACTTCCCCTTCTCAGCTGGGCAGGGGAGGGAAAATCAGATGGAAAACAACTTGTAGGTTGAGATAAGGCAGTTTGCTAAAACAAAAGTGAAGGTTGTGTGATTACAAGTGAAGGGGAAAAAAATTATTCCTTATTTTCCATCAGTGAGTGAGTCTGGCCACCTCCTGGGGAGCAGGGCTCTAGCACAAACAGAGGCTTCTCCAAAAGGCAAACACTGTAAATAAAAAGTGTCCCCCTTCCTCCTCCTTCCCTTAGTTTTCCATCTGAGTGACATCACATGGCATGGAGTTCCCTTTTGTCAGTTTGGGTCAGCTGGCCTAGCTGTGTCCCCTCCCAGGACCAGCCCAGCCTGCTGATGGGGCTAATGTAGAGACATGGCTGGTGCTGTGCCAGCGCTGCTCAGCAGTACCAAAACACTGCTGAGTTATCAGCACCTTTCCAGACACCAATGCAAAGCACTGTGAGGGCTGATATGGGAAAATTAACTCCAGCTCAGCCAGAACCAATACACTATGAAACATATTTCATCGAAATAACTCAAGAGTTGGCAAAATCCAGACTCCAAAACCAAGGCTGCTCATCCCAGGGCTCACCCCACCCAGTGATGTTAAACAAGCTGTACACAGGAAGGCAGCAGTTACCTAAGGACACCATTCCCAGTTAAAATTTTTATCTCATCTCTTATGAAACTACATACAGTTTCTAGACTAAACAACTCCTTAAGACTTGCCTACTAGATTCTGTCTTTTCCACTTGCTTTCCTATATCTTTTACTAAAATCACACTGACATTCTATTATTTCTTGTTCAAAGAGCTACAAAATTAAGTTTGGCCTGAAACTGCAAGTATTAGTTGTATATTCTTCTTTGTGTTCAAACAGCCAACAAAACAATTTCTCCAGTTGAGCACAACATACACTGCTGCATGTAGCTGGAGAAAGTGTGTTTTTCAGTTATTTCAGTAAGAAAAAATACAAACAGAATATATATATATATATATATGTATATATACATATCTATAATATATATACACACACACATATGCTTATCTATAACTCCTTTAGCTTAGTGGTGCTTTTTTATTAGCCCTATATTTTTCAAAACCAACTGAACTTTTCTCATGCTCACCTGTTTTCCTGGTAAAAATATCAAATTAATATAGAAAACTATCTGCAGTGTTTTCAGTTAAAGCAGAGCAACACTGTACAGCAATGTGATATCTTAAAAGCAAATAGGAGAGAAACAGTAAATGCTATAAATATTTAAATTGCATACATGTAGAGCTTTGTACTGAAGAAAAGCAAACGAGTAAAAGTTACTTCACAATATTTCAAGACATCAGCAACACAAACTAAAAACTCCTATAGTGCAATGTTTTGGCATACAATTCTTATTTCTTATAAATATTCACAACACAATCCAACAGACATCAGCGTAGATGGTTAGAGCAGTCAAATTTCTACATGGTTAACAGGCAAAAGCAGTTGTAAAACAGATATATGACACTGAAGGTAGATCAGTATTTGGGGTTTTCTATTTTTCAAATCAGTTTTGCCTTTAAAAAGTTTTGTAATCCAACACTGAGAGAAGCCTGTTTAAACTTAGTTCCTGATCTACAGTTTTGTTCAGTCTTCCTGACTGAACTTTCGACTTTCTGTCGGAAGCCTGGTTGGTTATTTGGTGAGGTACATCATTGCTGCTGCCAAGCCTTGAGACTGATGGGCATGAGAGCTGAAGGCAGGTTTGTAGCAAAGGAGTGTGAGCACTAGCGCAGTGTCCTGCCAGCTCACTGTGCTCACAGACTTCTCTGCTGCTCCTTATAGCAGAGAACCAGCTCCAAACGGGGAGCTTTGACTCCTGAGACCTTTTGCATCAAGCTGTGGGGGCACAAGCGGCTGCCACAGAAAAACAAAGCTTTCCTGACTGAGGCTGCTTCCCCCTAGTTTAGGATTTTGTATCAGGTAGCTCCAAGTATCTGTTTTTCCTTCAGCCACTGCTGGGGCTTCGTTTCCACCCACACCCTGTTCCAGAGCAGCAGGAATTCTACTGGATCTGTTTGGCGTACGTGTAGAGCTTTCTAGCAGTGGCTAGAAAGGCTTAAAGCTATCAGCTTCATCTGCCCTGGAGGCCTCACCGACATCTCGCTGAGATGAAGAGCAGTGAAACAGAGCTGGTGGGAGAAGTTGTGTGGTTGAAGCAGGATTTGGGAGTGCAGCAGGGACGCTCCGCAGGGCGCCACCAGGCTCAGGCCTACAAACACCGAGTGCTGGGCCTCAGCACAGCCATCCCTGACACCACGGCATCCCCAGAGGGCCCTGGCGCTTCGGGCTGGCCTCTGGTTCCTCTCGAAGGAAAACCACCCAGGTATCAGGGAAGGGAGGGGGAAGGGGAGGAGGGATGGGAGGATGCCTGTCGCAGCAGGGCTCTGGGTCCCCGAGCTGTCTGCAAGCTGGGAAAGGTGGGGGATGTGCCTGCCATGGGTGTTGGCCAGTTTTCATGTTGGAGGGCTTTTTGGGACTTACCTGTATTTCATTCCTTGCTGAAATAGTTGAATCTAACACTGAGCTTACCGTTTTGTGGTTTTTAACGCATACAGTCTGGGAATTTCACTCACACCCAGGTCTCACCTGCAGCTGAGGCAAAGCATCAGTTCAGGGCAGCTGCAGTGCAGTGACAGGGGCTCCTCAGCTGTCCTGCAATTAGCAGCAGCATTACAAAAGGCACGCTTAATGCTCCTTAATACATAAATCACTGATTTAGAACCATTATTATTGTCTCCTTGGAGGACATGGAGCTGCAAGCAAGCAGCTTAACTACTGTAGCCACAGTACATGGTGACTTGTGGTTCAGTTGAAAATATACCTCTGTGCTGAGGGTGGTTGAGGTGGGAACTCCTTCAGGCTAAAGATTCCATGCCTTCAGTAATTTCTTTCAGGCTAGCCCTTTCTGTTCTCAGGCTAGAATCAATTCCCTAGCTGTTTAAGGACGTACTTGCTAATGTAGCAGTGTGTCATACTCTATATTCCAGAGTCTGAGACTCATTTACAGGTTTGCAAACAATAGTCTTTATGACCTTCTAAATGTAGTGAAATTCAGTAAAATAAAAACAATTTAAAAATCTCTTTTCAAGGTTATTCCAGATGCAGAAAGCCTTTTATTACTTTTCTTTTTTTTTTTTTTTTTTTTTTTTTTCTGTTTTTCTTTTGTCTTTTTTGTGATGGGGAGAAACATTTATTGCATAGAAGCTAGTTACTCAGGTTTGTATATTACACTGTATGCAATAAAAATTAAACTGTTCTAGGGTTTTTCCCCCTCAGCTTTTCTTTCCTCCATGCGTACATTCAAAGTTTCCTTAGAGATTGTTACTTTACTTTGTCTTCCCCCATCATGTTTTTTCTCTACTGGTTTATTCTAAAGAAAGCAAACTTTCTAATGGTACTTGAACTTTTGAACTTCCAGAGTTCTGAACACTTTTAATAACAAGGAACAAACTTTTGATTTGTGCAACAGGTATAGGTGAAACCATTAGAAAATAGAAATATGAAGGAATATTTGAACAAGCATAAGGTGATTTTTTTCCCATAGGTGTCTATATCCTGCATATAAAGTATTTTTTAAAATCTAAGCTTAGTATTTCTAGGCCAATAGAAAACAACTGTCTCCAACTTCACAAATATGCAGGAGTAAGTAATTATATAACAGTGGCTTTGAAATTTAAAAGTGAAATATTTTTATAGTTTTTTTCATAGTAAGATTTTAGAACACTTTCCTGACATAAGGATATGGCAGGTTTTCAAGATGTCAGGATGTCTGAGTGTTCTTATCATGGAGTTTTATAAAAATGTGGCTATTCTCTGAATGCTCATTGCTACTGCAAGTAAATATTTGCCTTGTTAAATAGCATTTGATGACCTGTACATACAGTTTGAGATAAGTGTCGGAATTAGGTTTTTTGCTGGAAAAACAGAAAGATGTACACAGCAGTACAGTTCCCACTATGCTAATGACTTTGAAAATTTTCATCATATCTCTGTTCCCACATTATGGTTGGCTCTCCAAGGAAAGAAATCAAGGTCTAAATTTATTTTTCCTGTATATGTCTTACCATTATCAGCTTTATTCATACCACCTTTTAACAAGATTAAGAACTTTCATAGACTCATAGAACTGTAAACGAAACTGGTGGAAAAAAATCTCTAATGGAACTGAGTCTAACCATTTAACTCAGCACTTCCATGCTCACCACTAAAACAGATCCCCAAATGTCATAGCCACACACTTTTTTAACACTTTCAGGCAATAT